TGGTATATATCCGGTTTCAATGAAGAGAACGCATTTCAAGTTTGCTAATCTTTCACATCTAAAATCAGAGTCCAGCTACCAGGAGACTTCTGTATTTAATAGTGCTATTTTCAGTATTGGTTAGACTCTCTTTCTTTTCTGGTCCTGTAAATAGTGTAATTCAGCTCTCCTGTAAGCAAATTCAGTTTAACTTGGCAAATCTCTACAGAAAGCTTATTCTGCCCCTGGAAGAGAACAATGTAGAATTCCTGACCTCAGGAACATGCAACATCATGGGGAAGACTGACATAGATTTAAATAGTTACAAGACAACCCAGAGCATGCTAAATGCTCTCAATGCAAGGGTGAAAACAGCTGTATTCTTTTGGAAGACCCAGGTAAGGATTCCTACCATAGAAATGTAATGGTGAAAGGGACCGTATGGGATCATTTGGGGAGATTCAAAAATCTGGCTCTAATGGAATCTTTAGAAATATAGCTTCACATGACCCTACTCCAAACCTACTGCTATGGTTTAGATATTTGTTCCCTTCAAATCTCATGTTGAAATTTGACCCCAATATTGGAGGTGGGGCCTCATGGGAAATGATTGGGTCATGGGGCAGATCCCTCATGAACAGATTCATGCCCTCCCTGGTGGTGAGTGAGTTTTACTCTGTTTGTTCTGCCAGAGCTGGTTGAGCAACCTAAGGCCCTCAGCAGATGCAGATGTCCAATCCTGAATGTTCCAGCCACCAAATGAATTTTTTCTTTATAAATTATGCCTTGGTATTTCTTTATAGCAATATGAAACCAGACTAAGATACCTACCAAATAAGAATTTCTAGAGTGAAAAAATTAGAAATCTGAATCTTTCAAAAGCTCTCCTTGTGATTCTGATGATCAACTAGGCTTTGGGAATCACTGATCCTAGCACCCTTCTACTCAATGGTGGAATTTCCTGAACAGTATTTCTTCAAGGTTTTTGTCTAGCATCTTCTTGAATACCGCAAGCTCATTACCTCACATGGCAGACATTTATGGAAAAGTGTGCAGGGTGTAGAGTTTTAATGGTCAGAAGTAGAGGGTAAGGATATTGAGACAGAGTGAATATTAGAAATAATCAGAAAATAGAGGAAGATATGTTTTGAGAAGAAACTTGGGCTTCATCACACAGTGACTTAAGTCTCCAGCTAAAGAATTTCAATGTTATCCTCTATGTGATGGAAGCCCTTGATAGGATCATGATCTCATTGAGTTAGGAAGTCTGCCCAATGGATTAAGGATCAAAGAGAATAGAAACAGGGAGAACAGCTGGAAGTTGCATTCAACAAAACAGGTGGGGAGTCATAAAGACTTGGATCAGAAGCAGTAGGAATGGCAAAGAGGAGGAAAGTATGAGCTGCATTGCAGAGTTAGCCCTGCAGAGCTTGTCTGATTGGTGCAAGAAAGAGTCAAAGTTAATTCTAGAGTTTCAAGGTCCTGCAGTGGCAAAAATATTAATTAGCATTGTGACATTAGGATCAAGACTAGATTGAGAAGGCAGGTGGCAAATCAGATTTTTGACATTTGAAAATGTATTTGTTCCCATCACCTCCCACATCACTCTGTCCCAGGGCAGAGCTTAGCTGCGGCTCCCTATCTGTGCTCAGAGGTTGGCACAGTGTGTACCCTTACAATGTTTGATGACTGAAGAGCCACTGTAAATATCCTCTGCTCTCTTCATCCTTCCTGCTTTAGTTTGGGACCTTATTATTTTTCACTTGAATAATTGCAAGACCAAAGGCTCTTGCTCATACCCCTGTCTTTGTGAGTTTTAGCACAAGGAACACTCTCTGGGTTTATGAATTAGAAAAAGGGACTTTCTCTGCATGAATTCAGCCATTTGTTTAGGACTTGGGAAGCAAAGCATACTTTGGGGGGATGATAAAGTCGCCCCTTCCTGTAGGAGGAAACCTCCCACACCAGGATGTAGGGCTTGGAGAGCTGAGTGTAGAGGTGGGATTTTAGACTTCACTCATTTCCTCAGTGGGCACAGAGCACCTTGAAACATCTCCCAACTGGTCACCTTACCATTTCTATTGCACTCAGAGTGATTTTTTTTTTCTAAAATGTAATCATAATTACATTCTGCTTCAAACCTCTCCATGATTCCCCAGTGCCTGCAGGGTGAAGTCCAAAGCCCTCAACTTGTAACAAAAGTTCGTTCATGACAGCTTCTTCTCAGCCTCCTCCTGAGTGGCCACTCTCCTTCACCTTCCTCTGCTCCAGCTGCCGTTCTCTGAATGGGCCCTGCACAAGCAGGCTTTGGGCAAGCTTCTTTGCCCTCATTCTTGTCCCAGCCACTGCTGCCCCTCCCTGATCTTCCAGATGGCCAGATTGTTTCCATTTTCTCCAAGATTAACTTGGCTCATCTCAAGGAAACTGTCTCTGTCCTAACTCCAGTCTAGACTAGAACCTTCCCTAGACACTCTTCTCTCCTGCACAAAAACCTAGTACATTCCAGGGTGTGGACATCCTGTCTTCCTATTTGTGACATCCTTGAGGACTAAGCATATGTTTTGTCTATGTCTTTTCCCCCAGCATCTGGCTCAGGCTCATTCAATGGACAAATGACATTGACTTAGAGATGAATGAAAAGTGCAGATTTTACCACCAAAAAACCCAAACCCAAACTCAAAAAAAGAATAAAACCAAACAACAACAATAAAACCCCCCAAGTCAAAAAAATAAACCCCAAAAGTTTTTGTGTCTTTTTGAACATGAGGTATTTTATCAGTGGTCAAAAAGCCTTTTTCTTTTTCACACTTTTCTGTAATCTTGAAATAGTTATCTATTTAGGACGTTAATGATCTATGAGGAGATAATTATTTTGGTTTATTTTGCTTCCTATGGCTTTATTCCAAGGCCAGTGTGTTCTGGTGTGTGTATGTAGTTGATATTTGGGAGATACTTTAATAAAAATTGTCCATAGATTTGGTAATGTGCTTGATCCTTTTAAAAATATTTCAATTTTGTTTTTTAAAAACCATTTTCAGAATGGAGGACTCTGCCCATTTGCCTGAGACTGAAATGCCATTGGGGATATCTCTGATGGTGGTTTCATTAATTCAAATGCTAGACCAGCCCAGTGATGAACTTTGAAATACTTATATAGCCTAGCAAAAGATCTCACCCAGAACTTGTAGCCCAATGTGTGTGTGTGTGTGTGTGTGTGTGTGTGTGCGCGCGCATAACTTCTCTTCCTGCAAAGAATGTGAAGAAGCTGTAAGAATGTGTTCAAAGAAAAAGAAACAATTAAGTGTAAAATATCACTTAAACTTCAACAAAAATTACAACTAGGCAAAATATGGTAGTAGGAGGCCACGACAAGGAAAATGAGAGATGTGCAGGCCTAAATGTTGGTACAGCTGGCTATGTGCAAAGATTTTTCTTCCTAAAAGCATGTTGTTCACAGTGAGAAGGAATGTGCTCATGGCACATGTTATCTAAAAGTGTTTATTTTTTCATTCTTTTGACAGTCATTTAAAAATATTCTTTATGATTTTCAGTGTTCATAGTTTTTGCTGTTTCTAATTTATCTCTAGCTTCCAATAGTATTAATGGATGTTTTGGCTGACTTTTTTGGTCATTTTTGAAAATAGATGAGTAAATACTTGCTGATTTTAATGCCTTTATTATTAACTATTACGTAAGAATTGGGGTTTACACACTGATTTTTCTTTCAGTTATTTTTCTCCACACCCTGCATGTAACACATTATTTTGCTCATGGGAATAACTATTACAGATAAGCTTAGATGGAAATTGAATTCTTGTTTTGCCTTGGAGTCTATGATATTGTGCCTTAGTTACCTTATCTTTCAGAAAAAAACTTGACCTTCTGAAGACCAGTGTGTTCTCTAAGTGAAGGGCATAGTTACTATAATGAAGATATTGAATCATAGTTTAATTGATTGATACTCTAATAATAAATGTACTTTCCATTTCCCACAAACTATTTCTCTTTTGAATATGCCTCATATCCATGTTCTGTGAAATGAAGTTGCACATGGCATCTTATATGGGTGATATTCCAAATATTCCTCCTTCCCTTCATGGAGTACTCAGAGAGACATACTTGCCACAGAAGACAGAGAATTCTGACTTAAATAGATCCAGCATCCCTATGTTGTCCGTACAGCACCGGGCTCATATTATGTACTAAGTAAATATTTGCCAACATGAATTTGACATTATAAATAATTTTGTCATTTATTTCATTTTGTTCATTTCCGTGGTAAAGGGGAACTAATAAAGGGTACTCTTACTTTCCAGTTCTGAGTCCAGCCATGACCTCAAAGAAAGGAACAATCTTTACGGCTATTTGAATCTATTCTTTTGTTCATTCATGGAAAAACTATGTATGGGGAAAATGTAATGTAGAAGGAAGAAGAAAAAGCCGGAATACTCTTCTGTATCTTTTCTAGTCTGTAGAAAATGAATCATGTGCATGTTTACTGATTTTACCCGAAAATGAGAAAAAGATCACAAGATTGTCTAAACACAGGGTCTGACACAGTCGATGCTCATAAATGCTAGTTTATTTATTTTAATGTCACAGATTATAACTAGAGGACCTCACTCCTTTATTTCTACATGATTGACCATCCTCTTTTCTTTTTTATTTTTTGTCTTTTTCACTTCAAGAATGGTCTGTGTTCTTTATTTCTGAATATAGAAAAGGGGTTCAATGTTTAGTTACATAATAAAGTGCAGACAAGAACCTTAGGCCAACATTTTCCTTAAATCTCTCCTATGATTTAGGACACCTTGGAGATGGGATCTGTGAGCTCCTACATCAACGGATGATGACTTTTTATCTTTATCAAGTGACCCACAATTTGTTACTGGTGCAATGAGAAATTAAGAAAATAGCACACTTTTATGACTGTCACTTCACAGTCACTCAAATCAGAACTGGAATGCCACAAAAACAACTCCCTGTTAGCCCAGAGAAAAAAAAAAAGAAAGAAAGTAAAGGGGAAATTCAGATTAGTCACAAAGAAGTTCCCCGCCTGCCTGCAAAAGTTGCAGTGTTAAAACTGAGAGAGTCCGCTGTGCTCTTTCAATCGCCTTTTATCTCTGGTCCTGGGACCTTTGCCTATTCTGATTGATAGGCTTTGTTTTGCCTTTATCTTCTCCTTTGTGGGGAAGACTAACGTCTTCCCCCAGGTTTCCCTTTGCCGCATCTTCATCTTCCCTGCATCTGGATTGTGAAGATGGAAGGGGTCCAACCCCTGGACGAGAATGTGGGAAACACACCCAGGCCAAGATTCGAAAAGAACAAGCTATTGCTGGTGGCCTCTGCAATCCAGGGGCTGGGGCTGCTCCTGTGCCTCACATACATCTGCCTGCACTTGTTTGCTCCTCAGGTAAGATGCACCTCTGGGCGCTTTTTTCCTTTCAGCTCATGCTGATGGCAGCTGCAACTGCTGCAAAAAGTCACTTGGAAATAATCTTTTGCCATTATTGTTTAGCTTTCCGCAGCCCCCTCGGCCCCCCAGAGATTGTAAAGTGTGGTTAAACACCCTTCTGTCTCTCCTTTCCTTCCTTCTTTTCAGCAGTAGCGGTGGTAGGGCAGAGTGGAGGTAGGGCAGAGGCACTGCTTCTAGATTTTTTTTCTTTTTCTTTGCAATGCAAGAATCCCGGTATTCCTTTGTGAGCTGTCACTTTGAAGCGTTGAGTCCCTGGTATACTTGGTCTATGCATTCTGCTAGACATGTGTCTGATCAGAGAATTAATATAAAAAGGAAATAGGAAAGAGACCATTTCCACTTTCCCTTCATATTCATAAACTCCATAGACACACAAGGAGATTTGCTTTTTAAAGAATGCTGAAGGTATCAATATTAAGTTCTTTTAAAATAGCTAACCTTGCAATTTAACGGCAGCAATGTGTGTGTGCACGTGCGTTAGCCTACGTGTCCATCCATTTGCCCCAATGACTTACTCAGATATTGGTTCTCATAGTGTATTCCTACCAAACATAACTTAAAGACATCACTTTGTCTTTTTCCCACTGTATTCAATACATCATGTCGTAGGTGATCATCTCTCTAGTATTTTCCCCACTTAGTTAAAATATTCTTTCCATTTTTTGTTCTCTTTATTCTTCTCCCATGGCTTTCCCTTTTACATTTTTTTTTTCTTATTCACTCACTCAGGTATACAAACATGGTTAGGTCTTCAAGGATATTCTTCACTGCAGGAGATGCCACCGAAAAGAAAATAAGTCTATACTCTCCCAGCATACCTGTGTTGGGGCTAATCTGATTCTTGTTTTCCTGGCTGGTTGCTTTGGGTTAGGAAAAGCTCTCCCTGATAATGATCAGACAGTTGGAACTTCTATTTCTGATGGCCACTTCAGAGACTGGGTACCTCAAGTTAAAGTGGGATGAACAGTCCTGGCAAATGTCTGGACTTGTTTCTGCCTACAGGAAATAGGGGTTTTCGGTGCAGGGAGGCTGGTGGGAGTGTGTGTGGTTGTGATCACTGTACCGCAGAGAGTACTCGCGTCCCCAGATTCCAGCGTGTGGCTGGTGTCACGCTCAGGTCTGCAGACCAGTTAGTGCAATGACACACCCATCCTCCCCTCCCCATGTCACACGTCCACTTCTCCATGCAGAACTCTGTGGGTGAAGTTAAAATAGGTGATTTGGGGAGCGGATGTGGGGCGGAGTAATGTGTCCATGGCAGGATGCCCAAGACATAGAAGAGAATTAGGCTCTTCCAAGAAGAAAACAAAGAGAGTAACCAAAAATAGAACTGTTGAGTGCGTGCACCGAATCTGGCATCCCTGAGTGTGCTTTTTCAAACAACCACAGTGTTACATATTTCCTTACCCTGCACGGTGATAAAAAGACAGAACACATGGTCCCAGTCAAGGCCAACCAATTGCACAAGGGCTCTGAGGAGGAGACAGCAAAAAGTGAAACAGAAATGTGTACCTGCTAGTGGCTGGGGCCACCTTAGACCGTCAGTACCCAAGGGCTGTTGAGAAGAGGGGTCCTTTCTGGAAAGTCACCCAGAAACTCTGGGACAGAAGGAAAGCTGTGGGAAGGAAAGCTGAGTGCTGGTTTCTAGGACTCTGGGACTCACAGTGAGCTGATCTCTGGGGGAGAACTAGCTTTCTGCAGTCCTACAGCAAAAATGGAAGCAAAGACATTGAAGGTATGTTTGAGCTGTTTGCTCGAGAAACATGCTCTCATATACTCTGGATACAGAAATTTTTCTGGGCACAGGTATTTGAAATTCTTTACTTGACATTAATTTTATTAATTTCTTTCTTATTTCTAGCTAGACTATTTTAGCTAATGTAATTTCTTATATTGTTATAAGACCTGGGGCAGCACAATGGGTTCTTACATTTAATTTTATATTTATTATTTACACTTTATGATGGGAAGGATAGCCTAGACAGGTTGTGGGTTGTGTGTGTTTTTCCCAGAACCTGATCAAATAGTGTTCATAGTAGTGGTGGCAGTGGCAAGTGTGTGTGTGTGTGTGTGTCAGAGAGAAAGAGATTGAGAGAGAGAGAGAGAGAAAGAGAGAGAGAGAAGGTTGTAGAGTAGCTATTGAAAAGGTGGACATAGACTAGTAACATTTTAGAACTCATCTACAAGACTATTTGGAATTATTACTGAAGGATGGGGTAGGTGTTGACGTGTTGATGCAAATCAAACCTATACTTTTATAAGACATAGTGTCATGGTGATGTGTATTGGAGGTGAAATAGAGCTAAACTGCTCATCATTTACCCAGGTAAATGGGATCTCTTCTATTGCAAGAGAAAGGTATTTGGAAGATAATCATACTTTTTTCCTCGTTTCTTAGATTTAATTTTTAGCTTTATAAAATAACTGTCTGCATGGATGGCTCTGTAAATACAGACATAGCTATTAAACTCCTTTGGCAATCAACTTTCCCTCATTCAAGTTTACTTAGTAACCTCTGTTTTCTCACCACTGGGTCAAGTCTTGAAAAGCATAAGCTTTTGTTTTTGAGATGCTGGGGAAGAAAGACCTTACCCACTCCTCATATAATTGACTTTCCTCTTTGGGCCTTGATTTTCTCATCTGTAAAATGAGGCAGTTGCATCAGATGATCAGTAAGATGTCTTCCAGCTCAATATTCCTTGAGTATGTGGTTTCTATATTCATAGAATGGGTATGAAGACTTGAGAAACAAATGTGAGCTAGTGGATTTTTGTATTTAAGCTTATAGATTTCCTGCTCTTAAGAAGGGACTTGCAGAAATCAAATTTACACATATATACTTATATACTCTGTACATATATAAATAACCTATTCTGTGTTATGCAGCAAAATGTGTTGTTTAGAAAGGGGAAAAACGAATGCTCTAGAATAATATTCATGACACAATTATAAAACGGACTGCTTCTGACACCAAAACCAATACATGCCCGCTGGATATTATATTGGGACTGCCACTTAAAGCCTCAGGTTTCCAGTCTTGCCTGGAACTTCAGCTTGGGAAAAGTGGCAGGAAAAAGCTGACCTCTAAGGTGAGCAGCTCTATTGAAGCCTGGACCTTTCAAGATCAGTGCCACCTTTATCGCAGCCCTTAAATGTATGGGGGCTTTTAGTGACATTTTCCCAGCAAATCTCACTGTGAAAGGTCTAGGTAGTGATCCGACCTGTTTGTATCAATGAGAGCCAGAATTAGAATTCACAGTTTCTTGATGAAGTTTCAGGCTATAACTTTGACTTTTCACTGTATCATTTAGTAAGAGAAAAAGGAGTTTGTCTGAAAAATCTTGTTTCAGATTAACTAAATTTAAATGTCTCTATGCAGCCTAACAAGTTTTTAGAAATTCTTTTCATTATGACAGACATGCAAATAAGATAATTTCAAATACATCTGAGTTTGCTTTTTATAAGCAAATCTTTGAGAATTAAAAGGAAACATCTGGAGTATCGAACGGATTTGTTATAAGGTATTTTGAGGCTCTTAGAGGAGATATTGGTAAAAACATATAAAATTACTATTTTTGACCAGATATTAGACACAATCTATTTACAGATAAGAAAAGAGAAAGCCGGAGAGGCTAGGTGAATTGCTCATGATCACTTAGCTAATTAACCAGAAGCTCCTGACTCCCAGACTAGGGTTCTTTCTATTGTCAATCAAAGCATCCTTACTCAAATTCATTCCAATGAGTGTTTACTTGTGCCAGGTACCATTTGGGGCACTGGAGATACAAACATTCATTGGAGAAGGCTTTTGAGCTCCTTGAGCTCACAGTCAAGATGCAGGGTGGGGGCATAAGAGTGACAGACAAATAGAGACACACTCAAGGGCCGATGGGAAGACCAGAGGAGGAGGGGGGCTGCCTCAGCCTTCTGGGGAGTCAGGAAAACCTGGGAAGGGGCACTGCTTCAGCTGGTGTTAGAAGGAGTAGAAATTCTATAAACAGGTGAGAGGGTGGGGAAGGGCAGAACTGCAAGTTCAGAACAGCTGAAGTGAGTGTTCACGGGGACATCGGCAGGGATGAGGCTGCACATCCAGGCGGGGGCAGGTCACAAAAGGTCTTGTGAATTACGCTGAGGGAACACGCTTCATTCCATTCCATGCCGAGGAAAATACAGGAACCATCACCAAAACTGTCGCTTCTCCAGATTTTGCTCCTCCTACGTGGTCTGCACACTGGCAAATGTACAAAGTGAGTCTAGTCTCGTCGGCAGTAGGGGGCACCACAGCAAAACTAACCGCTCCCCTGTGTCTTTTCAAGAGAGAGCAGCCTCTTTTCCCGAAGAGTCAGGATTACGAGTACGATGTGCAACGTTTGGGGGATGGACATGCCTGAAGCTCTTACTCGAGGGGGGAGGGGGGCATGGGCAATATAAGTAACCTTAACACTTGTACCCCCATAATACGCTAAAATAATAATAAAAAAAAGGATTAGAAAACTACTCTCAGGCAGTTGAGGGCTCATCCACATGTAAGAGAATGAACGCTATCAGGTGGCCTACTAGTGTTCACTATTTAAATAGTGAGATTTTCTAAAGGAAAAATTAAGATACGTGTTCTGACCCAAGCACTCAAAATAGGACAGAATGATTTGAATGGGGGCTGTGCTGGAAAATATCCCAACACGTGAGCACACTCAGACACAGATGCACACTGAGGAGGGCTGGGAAATGAACCAAAGCTCTCGGTGTCGGCCTGGGGATATACCCTCCCACTCCTCTCTGAGACCCAGCCTTGCCCAGGGGCTGGCCACTCTGCCCGTCCGATGCTATTTCTTTTTAATAGCAAACGACTTTCATGCCCCTCGCTCTCAGGAACTGCAGCTCTCTCCTCACTTCAGGGGTTCTCTATTCATGGAAAACTGACGTTAATCTGGAGTCAT